TCTGAATAATGTGGTTTATTTCAGCTTGTACCTGTACAAACTGGGCATTGCACCACAGATCCAGGACCTGCTGGGGAAAGTGGCCTTTACAGGTAACACCAATGGAAATCAGCTTCTCATTAAGCCAAGCGTCGCTCACAAGCTCAAAAGTTATGTAAAATATGCGAGAAAATGCACATCGTAGTGCACATTAGTAGAAACATTTAAATTGTTAATTGTTTTCCAAGACGAAGGATAAATGTTGCCGAGGGCTTTTTGAATTACTGATCCTGATTGTTCTTTGTATGTGAGTATTTGTCTTGTTGGATTATAATTAGAAAAACGATCATTATGCTCTCAAGCATGTAATGTCTTATGAGTAACATCTTGTCTGAGATTTATATTTTTGAATTATCCATCATATCAGTTAATCAAAAATATCCCCTGCAGCCATTTACATTTCAACACATAACACACAAATGTATAAGCTACAAAGCTTTTGACATTGGTCTCAGGGCTTATGCACATTGGATTTTCAATCACATCTGCAATAACAATCAACAAACTGTTTGTATTGTTCCCAATTCAACTTTAGGGAAACATGCATGGGGATAAACAGCTTGAGCATGCAGTTAGAGATGACTTTTTGAGATCATCAGAAACAAATTAGATGTATATATTTGTGAGAAATTAACCAATTGTTATTTATGATTTGAGGGAAACGACCTCAATTGTATCTTGCAGTTTATTTTATTACTTTTTTATACGTTATGACACAACACTTGCAATTGGTTTTTACCTGTCTTCTAGAGGAAGAGATTAGTAACATGAGGAGTGAGCTGGAGAAGTATGGCATTCAAATGCCAGCTTTCAGTAAGATTGGAGGAATCCTGGCCAATGAGCTCTCAGTGGACGAAGCTGCCTGTAAGTCCTCTGACGTTTCACTTAATCTCTGCCTTACTTTATGTTGTTTTTGTCCTAAACTAAACTGTGCACACACTCGGTTTTCCTCAGTGCACGCTGCTGTGATCGCCATCAACGATGCGGTCGAAAGAGGTCAGACGTCTGTGATGATGGGAGCTCTTAATAATCCTAACGCCATGCTGAAGAACATCCAGGAAGCTCTGGCTCTAGAATACCAGGACACTCTGAGCCAGGCCAAGGCTCGGAAGCAGGATCAGTCCTCAGGGAGGGTGAGAAGCCTTCCAAACGCTTCAGTGACCTCTTTTCAGTGTCATCATTCATATCATTTATATTAAACTGCTGACTTTCCCTATATAGAAGCATTTATTATAATAATTCTATAACAACGTTTGTTTAGTTCCTCTCTTGCTAGCCTTCTCACAACACTCAATCTCTCTCTATTTCACTTTTCTTTTAGGACTAATCCGATATTGAGTTGCAAAGATAATTAATACAATAGTAACCTTAACATAAATTGCTAAAAACACCTCTCCACTAAAGCCAATGTATACAATCTCACATCAGTATTCAACCAAAGGTGGGACCAGAGTTACTAGTACGACTGGTTGATAACCACTACGTTTCTCTGCCTTAAGCGTCTGTCTGAAAGTAGTGACACGGAAATGAAATGACAAAACATTGAGAACAAATCTGAGTAATGCAAAAAAATGTGAACAGGACCCTTGCGCCGAGCAGATGTTTTGACTTCCCTGTGTAGTACTGACAGCTATAACAACTGAGGTCTGAAAGGGGTTGCCTCACTGAGTCACTGCACAGGCCAGCACATTCCAGCGGCTGCAGAGTCAGCTGGACTTCACCAAACACAAACCCTCGGCACCGTCCGGCATCTCGCCTCCTATTCTCTTTACAAACACTGGACAAGCATACGTCGTCCATTTCCTCTAATTGGCTAGAGTCTAATATGTTACTTAATCAGTTTGAATGGGGAAACATGTATGTGACTAAAAAATGTGATGTGAAATAAAAAAATGGATATTAATGTTTACCCTTCTCTTCTTTAATTAGCGCTCATCCGTTGCTACTGAAGAAAGAGATGTTTATGAGGAGCTGGTGACTCACCAGGAAATCCAGGGCTCCATTGACTTTGTCAACAGTAAGGACTTTCCCTCCAATATGATCCTCACATAGCTGATTTGACTAAAACACTGTCAAAAAACCATGACTGCTTTCCTTTTATGTATGTAAAACTAAACCCTTTGTGCCTTGTTGGTGCATAATAACCAGATAATAACACATGTGAACTCTACAGTACATACAGTAGAGGAGCCAAAGTTAAAGAAATTAAATTGCATAGAATCTGATTTTTTTTTTTGGTAGCACTTCTGAAAGAAAACACATATCCCTGAATAGCGTCTGCGTGGTTTTCCCCTCTCCAGTGCAGGCAGCGGTGAGGCAGGTGAATGAAGCCGTGTCGGCCCAGGACGAGGCCTCTCTGCTGGCTGCTCTCAGGCTGGACGCTCTGGCCCTGCTGGGGGTTCAGCAGTCAAACTGCAGCTGGTACCTGGAGCACTTCACCACATACTGCCAACATAAATCTAAGGTATACTGAATCACAGCTTGTTTGCTCGGTTGTCCCCAGTTCATGTCCTTATGAGTCAGAGCCCCTCTAGTCTTCTTTCCCAGTTGTTTGTTAAATGATGCATTTTCAGTTGGTAAGAGTACTGTAGACAATAAGTAAGGCAGGCTAGAGTAAAAGCAATATTTGAGGCTCCTGAGAGCCATAGTTAAAAAAAACGACGTTGGCATCCTACTGTATACATGTCCTCGTAATAAGATTTTAAACGGGTGTTTAGCATAGGAACAAATCATACACATTTGCAGTATTTTCTTAGAAAAAAGTCCAGTTTTGTAAAGGTTGTGTCTGCTTTTTTGTTTGTCCAGCTGACACAAAAAAAACGTCTTTTACTTTTAAGTTCTGCTGTGAGGATAACATGTAGACACTGATTTCCCTACTAGGCAGTGTATCTGAATGCAGAGTCCTTGAGGGGAACCGTAGTCATAGGTAGTGAAGACAGTGCAATATCAGTTGGTATGGACACCACCTTGCCCTCCACAGCCCTTTATTAAAACATGCTGAATCATCACTGGCTGTTGGTCATTTCTCTGTAGTGTAAACTAATCTTTGTGTTGCAGGATGAAGGGAAGTCTGTGGTGGTGGACAGAGAGGAGATTCAGAGAGTCGTCACCTCTTGTAATGACTTTGCTGAGGCAGAGAAACGAAGTAAGCACGTTTTGTTACCCACCTTGTTTTTAACACATAACTACCGGTCAGTTGTGAAATCACATACTGTATACCCATTAGAAAACTTCTCAAAGAACAAATGCATAATCTGTCACAGTATCCAGTAAGGCTCATTATACATCTTTAATCAGTTTTTTTGTTATGTAATTGTTAGACAAAGAACATCTACATGACTTTCTGTGATGCTTTTCTTTACCAGAGCTCGAGGCGATTGCAGCGATCAACGCAGCCATTCGTCTGGGCAATGCAGCGGAGACAGCAGAGGAGCTGACGAACCATGAAGCACAGCTGCCCATCGTCTACCAAACGGCTGCCAACCTCTACCAGGCTGAGCTGTTCAGTTTGCAGCTGCAAGGCGCGCGGGTGAGACATCATGTTTGCACTCTTTACAGTATGTTGACCCAAAGACCGTGCAGGTAAAGGGGAGGCCAGTCTACACATGCACTGTAGTTTCTGTGAATATCACTTCATGCTTGTGAGTCAGATCTTGTTTATGTGTTTCAGTCTGGCCTGAGCCACGAGGAGCTGAGTGTGGCTGTGGAGATGCTGTCGGCGGTAGCGGTGCTGAATGAGGTGCTGGACACCAAAGACCCTCAGGCTGTGATCGAGCAACTATCAGACTCCCCTCTGGGCTTCACCAACATGGACCAAGACAACCTCAACAGGTGAGATGGATGAGTATTTTGATAGCTGTCTTTGGTGCTGATCGTGCTTTTTTTTTAATAATCACTGTTGTTGTTTTTTTCTATATTGTGGCACTCATTGACGTGCACTCATGGTGGTACAGGATGATTTAAGAGCAAAACATTTATTTGATTTCAAAATAACAGGCATAATGTCTTCAGGTCGCATGTCACTGAACTCCACTGCAGGTATCGCTCTGATTAAGTTGCACTAACTGGGATCGGCTTATGAGTAAGGGTTCTTTAAATGTCATGAACCTTTGTTGAACTTCCTCTCCCTCAGGTATGCAGACACTCTTATCCAACTGCGAGGCGAGGCTCTTGCCAAAGGCCAAGAGTTTCTCACCTGGAATGATGTTCAGAAATGCATCGACACTGTCAACGTTCAGGTCCATGAGGAGCATGAGCGTAAGACACTTTCTGCTTATGTTTTATGTAGAGTTTTAACCCACAGGCCATACAGTATGACTGCAACTCCTTGTTGTTGTTTTAAATGTGTTTTATGTTGTGTATATATACATTTATGTTGAATTGTTGGAGGAACCTGTGACCCAAGATTTTCATTGCACTACTACACTGTAGCTGTGTATATGACAATAACACCTTTGAACCTTTGAGTAGCTTAAGATATAAAAGGACTTTTTCAGCCTGCAGTTGTTATTTTATGCAAGACAATTGACTGATCCGTATTAATCAGTTGTTTCCTTCTACTTCCAGGTATCATAGCTATAGCTGAGATCAATGAAGCTCTTAACTCCGGTGATCATCAGCAGACGCTTGCAGCCCTGCTCCTCCCTACAGCCAAGTTAACAGGAGTGAATCCAGCCACAGCCCAACACTACCACGATGTCCTACAACATACCAAACAACTCCTCTGCCAGGTAATGAGACTTGAAATTGAGTTAACACATAATGTTTTTATGTAAAAATGTTTTTCTTTTACACTATTTCCTGCCTCTCACGTCCTTAAAGTGCAACACAAAGAAATGAATGGCTGGATTAACCAGTGTAGTCACCGCATGTCACTTTATCTCAATGTTAAAACGACTTTTATTGAATTTTCACGGAACTTTCTCATGCCGTAATTTAAGACTGAAAATACAAGAGTCTCATTTTTTGAAAATAATTAGTTTTTATATACATTTAATGATGACCACAGCAAATTGTTATTCCAATGTTTCTGTGTCATCAAGCCAACAGTTTCCCAATGATAGTATGATTCAGAGTCTAAATCTTCCCTTCTTGATCCTTATATTTTAAAATAATCTTCACAGAGGATGTTGCTGTTTTGTGTCGAACAGAGACTGCGTTATCACCCTGTTGAATCCACGGAGTTCAGTTTTTGCATTCCTGAGCCTGTTTGTCGGGCTTGACCTTCCCTGCTGATTCTCAACAATGGTCCATTATGGAGAAGCTGTTTCTGTGCACAAACATCCAGTCTCACGTCATAGAAGTAGGCCTCTTTTGTATCCCGCGGAGAGAAACAAAGTGTAGTTCTGAGGCAGCCATCTTGGAAAGGAGCATACACAGGAAGGGATCCAGACAGCTGTGGAAGCAGCAGAGACACACCGCTACTCTGTAATATCCATACAGTCTGTCGTCCCCACTGGTAAACAGACGGATGTAGTGGGCGATATGCAGGATGCCGCTTGGCAAGAAACACACGACAAAGATGATGAACACCAGAGTGCTGACCCTGATAAACGGTTTCCAGTCGCAACAGGATTGTCCTAGATGGTATACCACTGCTACATGCGAATAGATACAAATCAGGAATGGCACTATGAAGCCCAGGCAAACCAGCATCATCCTGTATGGCACCAATGGGGAATGGGATTTTTCGTCCAGGGGCAGGACATCATGGCAGGTGGTGATTCCCAGGTGGGTGAGCTGGTAGCTCTGCCTGACCAGGAGCTCAGGCACAATAGCCACACCGTACAGGAACCAGACCACCAAGCACGACCACACTGCCAGCGTAGACTTAGCCAGCCTTCTGTACAGGAACGGCCGGACCACAGCCAGGTAGCGCTTTACACTGATGCATGCTATAGTTTGGGCTGAACTGTAAACATTGCCATAAAACAAGGCTGTGATAAGCCGGCAGGAGATTTCCCCAAATATCCAATTGTTCCCGTTGAAGTGGTAGTGAACACGCAGCGCCAGGGAGAGCAGCAGCAGCAGGTCGGACAGAGCCAGGTTCAGGTAAAGAACTATGGTGGAGAAAGGCTTTGCTTTGAGTCTGAGGAAGGCCAGGATGTAGGCGTTGGAGGGGATGCCCACCAGCATGGCCAGGATGTATGATGAGGGGATGACCCTGGTGCTGAGGACCCCCATGGTGTAGGCTGTCACTGCGTCCTCCGGGCTCACCTGCAGCCGGGGGTCTGAGCTGGGGTAGAGCAGCAGCCTGGTGCCATTCGGTTTGTACAGCGCTGCCTTAAAGGTTTTCGGTATCGCAACACTGGTTTCATTCCATACATTCCTGGTTTTGTTTCCTAGAAGTGGGTACACGAAAGACAAGGTTTATCAATCAATCAACAACTTTATTAATCCTGCAAGGGGCAATTGGTTATGAGCAGCTGATGTCATGTACACAGGCAGGAACACACAAGAAGAAAGCACACATGGCTTTAAAGCAACTTACATCTAGGATAAAAGTACATTTAAATCTACATTAAAACAGGATGTGTATAGTTAATTATGCTGTCTGGAGATTTTTTTAGTTATCTCTTGTTTTATGCAAAAAAAACAGACATGTAAAATAATCTTTTAAACAATGTTTTAACTTCTGTATTGTATTTGCAGCTTTACTAAAATAATGTTGTCACTTAGATTTGGGATCCCTTAACCAGTTAGAACATTAAAAACTACCGTGAAAAGTCTAAAGTACAAGTATTTAATTATGAGACACTTATCCTTTTGATAAACTCTTATAAATAGCATATTAATAAACGTACCTTCATGCTGAATGGTCTGCACTGCCATCAAACAAACGAGTAGTCCTGTTACAAGATCAGCCATGTCACTCTGCAGTCTCTATCCCAGAGTTGAAACGTTTTCTTCAGCCCTCTTGGTGTTGCTTCTGTTCAGTAAGAGTTCTCCATCGGTGAAATTTGCTGTTTTGCATTTCTGTACTGAAAAGTAGAACTGATAACGATCTGTGCTCAAGCCTCGCTTCCCGTGAGTGTTCTGTATGTGGGGCGCTCTTCTGTTTGTACGCTGCAGTGAGCATGTTTCCTGTCCAGACTTGAACATGAATTCTCTGCTGCCTACGTCAGTCACTGCCCTCTGACTCACTGAGGAGGGAGGACCCCGCTTAATGGGTAATTCACAGCTGTGATCCAGAACAAATCCCCCTGATTACCTTGGTGATGAGTATTTTGTTGTGGTTTACGTTTTGATGTGATTTTGCAGTTATTGAAGGGTGTCAGCTTTGTTAGGAAATTCACATTAGATGGTTTCAATTGCTAGTTTTCTAAGATACCATTATATTATACATTAGATCATTAATGTAATATTGGCTTCAAGATGTTGACCAGTCGTTTCAATGAAAGTGAACTCGTCTTTTTGTTGTCCTGGTTTGCTTTGTCCTTTTTGTTGGGCTCACGACACAAGCGCATTCATCCTCTCTTTCAGCACATGATGCGTTGGTTTGGAAATGATTGGCCGGATGCAGATCTAAAAAGAAAGCTGCCTATACTGTGCTCAGTGTGTTTTAATGGGGACTTCCTTCCTGTGGTCAGAGATACACCCCGGCCTCTAGAGTCTTCTAGAATTAGCCTGAGAACAAGCACAAAAGTCAGGCTGGATAAACATGCTTTGTAGTTGTTGTGACGTTCTCAGGCAGGGTCTGTTTTTTGTGGTTACGTTGGGACGAGGATATTTCTGAAGTGTAACTATTGTCATCACATGTTTTCCTTTTCCTCAGGCCTCATCTCTGGACACAGGGGAAATGGTACTGTGTATTATTTGCCGTTGCTTTAATAGCACCAGCTTGTGTTTTGTTGGTTATCAGTGTTGCTTTGTAGTGCTACTGCTGTAGAGCAAAATCTCAACAATCCCAACTTGATGTTTTTGAATAATTCCATTTACTTTATTTCTAACATTGGATATCGAATGTGTTTGGCCTAATTAAACATATTTATAATTTGGTATCGGGTTAGTATTGTTTTTGCTTGTATCGTTTGTTTGTGTGATCAATCCATCCAAGAAAAAAAGAATAACGAGGAGTGACCTTGTTCTTCAATCTGATTGTAGAGCTCTGGAGATGAGTCTGCAGTACTGTGGCTGGACCAAATCCAAGAGGCCATACACACAGCCAATCAGGATGAAGACGAGGCTCTCACATGTACGTACCCAGAGTTTAAACTCACTCATCCATGTCTTAACTACCCAAACAAAAGTTTATTCAGACCCAACATGAGGAGGACATCGGGGACTAGATTCAGATCCTCACACAGCTCTGACACACTCATTAATGTTCTAAATTAATACGTAGCTCGTTTCAAATGTCTCTTGACCACATGCACTAACTACTAACTCATTTTCTTACTTACTTTTATTTTAATGTTGATCGTGTAGCAACACAAGTCTTTCAGAACTGCTCTTGCATCAGTTCAGCCTGATGGTCATCTAAACATGTTTGGCATTACTTTTGTCACGCATCATTTAATGTAAATTGGCCTCAAAGATAATTTTCTTCTGCAAGACTTTGTAATTATTTGTAATGCATAATCAATTTGTCAAAACTAATGGAAGCTATATCTGCACACTTCTTTCATATCCATTCTTTAAGAGACTGTAACACTGACTGAAAATAGTGGAATAGATACAATAATCTGTGTTTCTTATAGGCTTAGGGGTATTTCTTTCTCTTTAGTTACATACATAGTGTAGCATAGATGTGCTGATACTGCCATTATTGTGGGCACAATATTTAGATTTGTATATGTTGTTACATGTTGAGGATAACCACTTACCAATTGCCCCTTGCGGGATTAATAAAGTTGTTGATTGATTGATTGATTACTCCCTAGTTGTACTAAGTGGTTATTGTGCTGTTTCATATTAAACTCAATGATTGCTCTCTTGTTGTGATCTTGTTCATGTTGCTAGTGGCTGGAGCAGTGGCTGACATCAACAGGACCGTGGCCGAGGGGGACGCTCAGAAAACACTGCAGGCTCTGCAGGTTCCCAGTGCCGGACTGAGAGTGGTGCTCCCTGAATGTGCCGAGACATACCAGGCAGAACTGGCGGAAAGACAAACAAACGGTGATGATAAAGGTAATCATACTTACTGCATGAGTAATACATGTTACAAGTGTTCAGGAAACTGATGCCTGAACAGTGAGATTGTAGGTTTCAATATGACTGCACTGTGTCTAACTGAGCCCGTTCTGCTTTCCTCCAGGCAGCACTGAGAGTGTGTGGGTTAAACATTGCATCAACGATAGATATGACTACTACTACAACCTGGAGACTGGACAGGGCACCTGGGAGGAGCCTGACGGGTTTCTTCACCATGGTGGCCAGCTCGGTAAAGAGGAAATCCAGGTACCCTCTGCTCTAATGCATAGTTTCACTACATTGTGTATTCCTATGTGCTGTTAATATCCTGATATCACATTGATGGTATATATCACCTTCTTGTTTTAATGTTCATTTTCAGGATCCCTATTTATTTGATCAGATACTAATCCCACTATAGAAGCTTTTTTCTCCTAAAAAAAAAAAAAGATATTATGTTTAATAATTTAGTTTTTGCGAGAAGGGGTGGGATTAAATAAGTGTCAAATTCTTCCCACCCCTTTTGGGATGTGTAATTAAGTAAATCATTTGTTTATATATAATTTAGAATCAGTAATATTTTTGTATATCAATTTGACACTGCTTCATTTTGTATTGTATAATAATCTACTCAATACATTTCATTATAGTTATTGTTTTTTTTGTATTGTTTTACACATTCGAAATAAATCGAATCAAATCCTTATAAACAAACAAATCTTTATTTCCCCCTTAGGGTGTTGTCAGCTCTTTGACTGCAGAATATAACAGGGAACAGTTATGGATGGCCAATGAATCCATGGTGACCCAGCTGCAGGCGAGGGTCCGAGGTTACCTGGTCAGGAGAAAGCACGCCCGGAGAATGGAGTATCTACGGCAGCAAGAGCCACATGTCGTCAAGTTGCAGGTATCGTATAGCTCCACTGTGAACTGTGAATATCTGATCTCTTATGCAGCTGTGTGTTACTGCAGGACTCATGAATCATAATGGGGATGTCCATACAAACCTGTTTAGAAACAGTCTACTGAGTGTATACAAATATTCTTTCAGCAACACCTTAAAAAAAGAAAATAAAGATCATAAATGATCAACCATCAAAATGTAATTATCCAAGCTGTGGTAACACTGATATAAAACACAACTTGTATGTTTCCTTTGTTGCAGGCCTGCTGGAAAGGTCACAAACAGAGGAACATGTACAAAGACAGGATGAATTTTCTCCAGGATAATGTCTCTTCGATTGTCAAGGTGATAAGTCTTTTCTTTTTATAAATATTGTTATTAAAAATGATGCTTATTGAAAGAATAGACACCTCTAAAGCTATGCACCCCTTCCCTGTAAGTGAAAGCTTTATCTCCAGTCACAAACTCAAATAACCATTGTAGCTGGGATTTGTAAGCATTTATTAAATGAATCTGCATGTACCTAACATAAATAACGTTGCTGCGATATCGAAGACCTGACATGAAACACTGGCGTTTTTTTTTTAGATCCAATCTGTTGTGAAAATGTGGAAAGCCAAACGTAAATACAATCAGAGGTTGCAGTTCTTCAAAGATCATGTAAGTAACCAAACGTCGCTCCACAGGGTCTTTTGGGTTTTTAGTTCCTGTGTTTTAAAGACTCACTGTTCTCTGTGTGTTTAGGAAAAAGAGATTGTGAAAATCCAGGCTTTTCTAAAGGCCAACAAAGCCAGAGACGACTACAGAACCCTAAGTAAGTCAGAAAGGCATTTTAATGAACATACATACTAAATTGATATACTATCGATCTTGTGATGATATTAGCTGGGGATGTGTTTTTGAGCTATGTCCATATTTTACATTGATTTAAAGTGCTTTTCTGGTTTTAAATGATGCATTATAGTTCCCTATTTTTCTTACATTGGTGTTTTTTCCTGTATTTCCTGGCTCATCATATTTCATAGTTGATGGGGACATTTTAAACAATGAGATTACATTGTTTGTGAATGTTTAAAAGACCGCTGACTTTCGTGTGTGCCTAATCCTAGCTGGGGCGAAGGACCCTCCTCTGTCCGTGGTGCGTAAGTTTGTCCACTTGCTGGAGCAGAGCGCCCTGGACCTTCAGGAAGAGCAGGAAGTGACGCGGCTCAGAGAAGAGGTGGTCACCAATATTCGCTCCAATCAGCAAATGGAGAAAGACTTGAACTTGATGGACATAAAGATTGGACTGCTGGTGAAGAACAGGATCACTCTGCAGGTTCGCTAGCTTTGATTTCATGTGTACAAGAAATGCAACTGTGATATTTACGTTGAAGGCCTATAAGAATGTCTTGTTCTGTTCAGTTCGACTACTTAACCTTTTTGTTGTTTTGTTTTTTTAAAGGATGTTGTGTCCCATAATAAGAAAATGAAGAATAAGAAAAATAAAGAGAGTAAGGACGACTTGACTACAGGAGACAGACAAGGTATCAAGGGACTAAACAAAGGCAAAAGAAGGAAACTGGAGGCCTACCAACATCTCTTTTACCTGCTGCAGGTGATACAATATGATGTCTTTAACTACAGCTTGCATCTGCTGAACTTAGAAAGGTCGAATGAAAGGTAATGTTACTCTTTTTGTTCCCTCCCCTTTAGACCAATCCACACTACCTGGCCAAGCTGATCTTTCAGATGCCCCAAAACAAGTCGACCAAGTTTATGGACACGGTGGTCTTCACCTTGTACAACTACGCCTCCAACCAGAGAGAAGAATACCTGCTGCTCAAACTCTTCAAGACGGCTCTGGAGGAGGAAATCAAGTGTGTACTGCAGCTTTAATCAATACTTTGCCATAATCTCAAGCCATTATTGTACACAGGGTTCTTCCGGTCATTAAAAACCTGGAAAAGTCATGGAAAACAATATTTTCCCCAAAGTTTTGGAAAAGTCATGGAAATGTAACTAAAGTTGCATCAAATATAATTTATATTTTATCTAATT